AAAAAAAAGAATAGTTAGAGAAATATGGCCGGGTGCGGTGGCTCACGCCTATAATCCCAAAACTTTGGGAGGCCAAGGTGGGCGGATCACGAGGTCAGGAGATCCAGACCATCCTGGCTAACATGGTGAAACCCCATCTCTACCAAGAATACAAAAAATTAGCCAGGCGTAGTGGTGGGCGCCTATAGTCCCAGCTGCTTGGGAGGTTGAGGCAGGAGAATGGCGTGAACACGGGAAGCGGAGCTTGCAGTGAGCTGAGATCACGCCACTGCACTCCAGCCTGGGTGACAGAGCAAGACTCCGTCTCAAAAAAAAAAAAAAAGAAAGAAATATTTTGAGAAACGTTATATTTAAATGAATACATTAGACACTAAACAAAGGATACATGGTAGGGAAAGCTCCTTTCTAGGTACAAAAACACATGGCTGGGCACAATGGCTCACACCTGTAATTCTAGCACTTTGGGAGACCAAGACGGAAGGACTGCTTGAGGTCAGGAGTTTGAGACCAGTCTGGTCAACAGAGAGACCTCGTCTCTGCAAAAAAGGTAAAAAGTAGCCAGGCATGGGTGCGCATGCCTGTAGTCCTAACTACTCAGGAGGCTGAGGCGGAGGATCACTTGAACTCAGGAATTCAAAGCAGTGAGCTCTGTTCACACCACTGTAACTCCAGGCTAGGCAACACAGGGAAGCCCTGTCTCTTAAAAAAAAAAAAAAAAAACTACTGGAGGTTTTAGGTATTACAATAACATAATGAGTGTTGACATTTGTTTGTTTAGAGGCAGGGTCTGGAAGGGACAGGAATCCATTCATTTATTCTTGTCCTCCCCCAAACCCCAGAAATCCCATCTGGAAGGACTGGGACACAACGGTTGTTTTTCCAAATATGCATTACAACAAAGCAGGGGGGCTTAATAAAAACAGGAGGGATATGCCAGGCTGACACATTTGCCTGTAGGGATTAGGGCTCTTACCTCATACTCAAAGTCAACCCCCAGTGCCCCAATGTCCAGGTGTAGGTTCTTAAGAGGCTCACTTGAGCTGTGGACACTCTAGAAACAAAAATGATGACAAGTGTAAGTCTGAGGAAACTGGTCAACCCAGGGTGAGGGGTGTGCAGAGGGAAAAGCGGGGCACTGCTGAGCTGCCAGGCGGGCCCAGGCAGGGCTTCAGAGGACTTGGGGCAGGACCACCACTGAGGCAGCCTCACTAAACGGCTCTCCATCCAGCACAAACTATGCTGTGCACCAAGCAAGTGGCCAAGGTGCTTTCTGCTGGCTGTATTTTCTGGATCAGATCTAGAAGGTATAATAGACTGCTCAAGAAATGAAGCTGGGGGCCAAAAAAAAATCTTGCTTTTTTAAAAAGAAGCACAGAGATCAGCCAAAGGTAGAAACAATCCATATATATTCATCAACAGATGAGTAGATAAACAAAATGTGGCATATCCATACCATGGAATATTACTCAGCCTTAAAAAGGACCAAAGTTCTAATACATGCTACAACATAGATGAACCTTGAAACATTATGCTAAGTGAAATAAGGCCGACACAAAAGGACAAATATTGTATAATTCCTCTTATATGAGGTCCTAGAATAGGTAAATTCATAGACACAGAAAGCAGATTAGGTTTCCAAGGACGGAGGGAGAGGGAATAGGAAGTTATCATTCAATAGGTACACAGTTTCTATTTGGGATGATGAACAAGTTCTAGAAATGAACAGTGGGGGGTGGAGTGCAGAAAAAAAAAAGAAATGGATAGTGGTGTTGGGTGCACACATTGTGAAGGTAATTAATACCACTGAATTTTAACTTTAAAATGGTTAAAAGGGCAAATTTTATGTTACATATTTTTTCTATCACAGCAAAAACATTTTCAAAAGGAAAAAATATAGCACGGAGGGTTTCCAGGCCAGGGAGGGGACTTCATCATTACCTGGTTGTCACTTTCCTCCTCATCCTCCTCATTAGTTTCTTCTCCTAAAGCCAAGAGGCTGAGAGCAGTCTTGTCCTCATGTATGGAGCCCAGGAGACCCTTTGTATAAGCAGAGGTCTTGAGACCCTGCAAAGGCTTCAAAATAGAGAAGGACAGTCAAAGGACTCACTTGAAGACCTTTGGAATGACCTTTAGAATGCTCCTCCCCACTCTCTATGTCAATGTCTCCCAGATCAAGTCCCACCATGTCCATGAAGCTGACCTGGCGACTGCAGCTCACACCAATGACTCCCTTCACCCACTCCTACTGCCTTGACTGCAGAGACTCAGAAATCAGCACTGATGTCCCTACAGCATGCGTCTATCCTCCACAGCCCAGAGTCCACATTCATACAGGTGTGAATTACATTTTCCCAACTGGATTACGAACTCTGAGGACTCTACCGATTCCGTCTATTTCTCACCCCTAGGCCATAGTCCCTAATATGGTACACGGCGGCCCCACAGGAACTACAGACACTGAACACAAGAGAAAGTACTTACCAGCATGAGTTCTCCAAGCTGACGTCCAGACTCCACTGAGCTCCCCAGGCTCACGCTTTGAGATCCACGAAGGGCAGAGGGTGGGGTATCCACAAGGCCTCGTAAAGGAGCCAGGCCCCCAAGAGGAACATGAACTGGGGCTAATGAGGAACCCAGGGCCTGGGCAACAGAAAACATCTTGTTACAATCCAAGAAACCATGTGGCTCTGAAAGTGTCGGAGACAGATATAAAAATAAAACATCTAAATCCTGCACGCTCAAATTTAAACCACCTCCGCTCAGAGGCTGCTAATGAAACACAACATCCAGAAATTACCATTGTGCCAACTGTGTGAGAAATCACAGGCTGGTTTCCTGATTCTCATAAGTCTCATGCTGTCTCACAGTAAACAGTTCTTTAACATCTGGCAGATGCCGCATGGGGTTCCGCTCTCCTTTCAGAAGCCACATAGGAGGCCGGGCGCGGTGGTTCATGCCTGTAATCCCGGCACTTTGGGAGGCCAAGCCGGGTGGATTACGAGGTCAGGAGTTTGAGACCAGCCTGGCCAGTATAGTGAAACCCTATCTCTACTAAAAAACACAAAAATTAGCCGGGTGTGGTGGCATGCGCTTACAGTCCCAGCTACTCGGGAGGCTGAAGCAGGAGAATCACTTGAAACCAGGAGGCGGAGGTTGCAGTGAGCCAAGATCACACCACTGCACTCCAACCTGGCGACAGAGCAAGACTCTGTCTCAAAAAAAAAAAAAAAAAAAAAAAAAAGGCCAGGAGCAGTGGTTCACACCTGTAATTCCAGCATTTTGGGAGGCCGAGGTGGGCGGATCACCTGAGGTCAGGAGTTCTAGACCAGCCTGGCCAACATGGTGAAACCCTGTCTCTACTAAAAATATAAAAATTAGCTGGGCATGGTGGTGCATGCCTGTAATCCCAGCTACTCAGGAGGCTGAGGCAAGAGAATCACTTGAACCTGGGAGGTGGAGGTTGCAGTGACCCAAGATCACACCGCTGCACTCCAGCCTGGGCGACAGAGTGAGGCTCTGTCTCAAAAAAATAATAATAAATAATAAATAAAATAAAATAAAAGCCATATAAGAAGGATGCAGGAGGGGAAAGCAGAGACAAATCCTCATCTAGCAGAAGAATTCTCAATTGATAAAGTTTAAAATTGATGAGTCAAGAAAAAGCAGTCTAAGTGTATTATTTACAAAGATGGACGTAAACACCACAACAGAATGGTTGCCTTTGAGGAGGGCTCTGCACAGTGAAGTGCTAGACTTTCTTATATGCCTTTTAGTACTACTTGACTTTTTAAACTACGGACATGCACTACTCTGATGAAAATCTAAGGCCAAGGCACAGTGGCTCACATCTGTAATCCCAGCACTTTGGGAGCCCAAGGTGGGAAGATCACTTAAGGCCAGGAGTTCAAGACCAGCCTGGGCAACATAGCAAGACCCCATTCCTACAAAAATATTTTAAAGATGAGCCAGATGGGGTAGCATGCACCTGCAGTCCCAGCTACTCAGGAGGCTGAGGAGGAAGGACTGCTTGAGCCCAGGAGCTGGAGGCTACAGTGAGCTCTGATGGCACCACTGTACTCCAGCCTGGGCAATAGAACAAGACCCTATCTCAGACCAGCCTAGGCAACACAGTGAGACCCTGTCTCTACAAAAAAATTAGTGGGACATGGTGACACATGCCTGTGGTCCCAGCTACCTGGGAGGCTGAGGCGGCAAGATCAATTAAGCCCAGGAGTTCAAGGTTACAGTGAGATATAACCACTGCACTCCAGCCTGGGAGACAGAGCGAGACCCTGCCTCTAAAAAATAAAAATGACCCTGTCTGGAAAAAAATCAGCACTAACTACAACAAAAATACACATGAGCAACAGAAGAAGGACTCTCTCCCCTTTCCACTGATGAGGAAGGTGGCTGAAAGGAGCCTTGCCGAAGGGCAGTAGTGGGGCTGACCAGGTCCCTTCTTTTCCCTGTTCTCCTTCCTGCAAGCAAGGGCTGGGGAAAGAAATCAGGCTACGCGTCAGAATTCGTGAGACCTCCCGCTATTCACAGACTCTCTGATTCTCAGTTTACTCATCTGCAAGATGGAGATGATGTGTGCCTTGCCACCTGACTAGGTGTGCAGAGAAGCTCAAGGAGATGAGTGCTAGGGGCCTTTGTGAGTGGCCCAGGGCTACACCAACATTATAAAATTGCCACCATCACAGGGATTCACATTACAATAATCTAGACTTATCAGAAGCAAAGATGGCAATCTGGTGACAATTTACAAAGACCCCTTCAAAATTCATTTCTCAAACTTAAAATGTCTCAGATGACACAAAAATTCCAATCCTCCCTAATCCCACAAGGACCGAAGAGAGAAAAGGAAACCCAGAGGCAGCCAGGCTGAGGTTCCAAAGATCCATCTTCTCACCTGTAGCCTAAGCCTAGGGGCCAGACCAGTGGGTGGGTTCCCAGGAGGGCCCATTTCTGCATCAGATGCTCATCAGGAAAGTAAGGTGAGAACCACTCCTGAGCTTCTGCAGGTCCACAATCATCTGGCCTGTTGTAGAACATCTTTGTGAAGGAGAAAACGAGCTGATAACCATAACACTGGCCAGCAGTGCGCTGGCTAAACACCTTCCATGCGATGTCTCATTTTACCCTCACAACCACCTGAGACTGGCTCTGCCATTATCCACAGTCCCCATATGAACAAATGGAGGTTGGTGAGGTCAAGAACCCTGCCCAGGCTGGGCGCGGTGGCTCACACCTATAATCCCAGAACTTTGGGAGGCTGAGGCGGGCAGATTACCTAAGGTCAGGAGTTCAAGACCAGCCTGGCCAATATGGTGAAACCCTGTCTCTACCAAAAAAAAATTTAAAAATTAGCCGGGTGTGGTGGCAGGTGCCTGTAATTCCAGCTACTGAGGGAGGCTTAGCTGGGTGTGGTGGCAGGTGCCTGTAATCCCAGCTACTGAGGGAGGTTGAGGCTCCTCAACCCGGGAGACAGAAGTTGCAGTGAGGTGAGATCATGCCACTGCACTCCAGCCTGGGTTACAGAATGAGGCCCTGTCTTAAAAAAAAAAAAAAAAAAGAACCCTGCCCAAAGTTACAGAGCCAGTGAGGGGCAGAGATGGGATTGGAACCCAAGGCTATGTCTAAAACAGTACTTTACACCAGCTCTGGCTGTGGCAGAAAAAAAAGCCTAGGACATACATGGTCCCCGACACCTCTAACCCCAGTACTTTCAGAAGCCAAGGCAGGAGGATCACTTTAGGCCAGGAGTTCAAGACTGGCCTGGGCAACATAGTAAGACCCCATGTCTACAAAAACTAATTTTTAATTAGCTGGGTATGGTGGTACACACCTGTAGTCCCAGCTACTTGGGAGGATTGCTTAAGCCCAGGAGCTCAAGGCTGCAGTGAGCTACCATCACTGAACTCCAGCATGAACAACAGAACAAAACTCTGGTCTCTTAAGAAAAAAAAAAGGGTGGGGGGCTGGGGGGAAGAGCCCAAGAAAGCTTTTTCAAGGTAAATTGGGCAAACCAGGCATGCTCCTCCTGGTTTCAGCCCTTCTAACCATCCCATGTATCAGCAAGCAAAATTATCCCCACACTGTATTTATGGAAAATTACAGACTCCTAACATGGCTAATTTGCTAACGTGCTGGGGGCTTGAGGGAGGGAGACAAGCATGCTGAGGGCTTCGTTCTCCCAGGCCTTGACCAAATCAGCAGTTAGCGGGGAAATTATACATTCCTGGCTCCTAGCTGATCATCTTCTGTAGACGGCCATTAACTCTGAGTATGGGGCTATGCATGGAGTTGTCCTTCAGAGCAGATAAACTTACTGCCACTGGGCTAATTAAAACTTTCAGGATAATCTGCAGCTTATCCGATATTTATAGTGCTTCAGTAGTTATTAAAGCTAACAGAGAACCAATGCAAGCCAGCAATTAGGAAGCAGAGCAAACAACTGGGTAAAGCCACAGCTGGGCAACAGCAAAAGAATAGCTGGAGAAATTCAGATTGATCCCCATGGTCTCTGATCCAACTTGACTTCTGAATGAAGAATATGGTGAGTCTTTAAAGGGACAAAGGGAGAATGATAGGGCAAGGTCAGCCATTTGATAAATCCCAGTAGGGGAGGAAGTGAACTCAAGAGTGAAGTCACAAATACGGTCTACACAAGTCTGACACAGGTTATCCATGTGGTTTTCTGGGGACGCTAGGAGGCAAAGAGCAGAAGCAGCTCACTGGATGGCAGAGAGAGGTTCTGGCCTCCGTCTCTCATGAATATTAGCTCTCAGGCCAGGCATGGCAGTTCACACCTGTAATCCCAGCACTTTGGGAGACCGAAGCAGGCAGATCACTTGAGGTCAGGAGTTTGAGACCAGCCTGGCTAACATGGCAAAACTCTGTCTCTACTAAAAATACAAAAACTAGCCAGGTGTGTTTGCACACGCCTGTAGTCCCAGCTACTCAGGAGGCTGAGGCATAAGAATAGCTTGAACCCGGGAGGTGGAGTTTCAGTGATCCGAGATGACACCACTGCACTCCAGTCTGGGCGACAAAGCAAGACTGTCTCAAAAAAATAAAAAAATTAAAAGAAAGAATATTAACTCTCTAATCAGGTGCAGTGGCTCATGTCTATAATCCCAGCACTTGGGGAGGCCAAGGCGGGTGGATTGCTTAAGACCAGGAGTTCGAGACCAGCCTGGCCAACATAGCAAAACTACATTTCTACTAAAAACACAAAAAAATTGGCTGGTGAGCACCTGTAATCCCAGCTATTGGAGAGGCTGAGGCACGAAAATCGCTTGAACCTGGGATTCAAGCGATGGAGGTGCAAATTGCAGTGAGCCAAGATCCACTGCACTCCAGCCTGGGCGACAGAACAAAACCCTGTCTAAAAATAAAATAAAATAAAAATAAAAATAAAACATGATATTAACTTTCTGGTTCTGTGTGATTTCAAGAAGAGATAAGTTCAGAGCTTTGGGGTAGGCTGCCTATGTGGAAGGACCTCTCTCTAGAATCAGCTGATAGGAAAAGCTTCCCAAATCCCAGGAAGGTGTTTATATGCCAGGATTAGCGACGTTCTGCTCACCCTCAAAACTGATCAAGTTCAAGGCACACGAACCACCTATGAATTACAATTATAGCCAGGGAAGGGAAATCATAGATACCCTCAGCCCTATCTTGCAGGTGATGGCGTAGAGGAAACTTCAAATATGTGTCATCCCATAAAATGGCCATTTGGGTAGTTAAAGGGCCAGCAGTTACCAAGGAAGGGTGGGTAACAGGAACACAGGCCTGACAGCTGTGGTAAGACACCAACTCCACCTGCTCCCTCCCTGCCAAGTTTAGGCCTTTAGGCCACGCTCACTAAGAAGCCTACCTGGTTGAAATGCTGCATCTTGCCTGGCTCTGTAGCAAGCCCGCCGATGGAGCTCTGCTGGACTAGCCCCTGCCTGAGGGGGCTGCTGCTTGGCTGGAAGTGGGCTTGCTGAGAGGCCTCCTGCCCAGCAGGGGCAAGGGCCACCTCCTGAGGATGTTCCAGCAGCTCTGGCTCCCATGATAGAAGCCTTGAGTCCCTCTCCAGGACTCTGATGGCCTCGTGCTCACCCTCACTAGACATCCTAGAAGACTCAGCTGCCATGCAACAGCCTGTGCTGGCGCTGTGTCTACACGGCATGTCCTGCATGCTCTCAGGCAGCCCCAGGCCCTCCGGCCACCTGGAGATCTTGACCATCTGCAGGATGTGCTGGTAGAACCTCTGATCCTCAGAGTAGTCTTCACTTTCTGACTGCTCCTCGACAGGGCTCTGCATGTGGGACATGTGAGGAACTGAGAAGGGGCTGAAGTGTTGATCTCTGAAACCTGAGTCTGACTGAGCCACACCCTCCTCAGATCCCCGTGAGCTCTGCAGGTTCCAAGGGAAGTTGTTCACCTCGTCCAGGACGGGAGAGCCCAGGTGTAAGGCCAGGCTGCTGCTGCTGCTGCTGCTACCGCTGCTGCTGCTGTTCTCCAAGTCAGGCCCAGACACACTAGGCTTCTCATCTTTACAAGGGAGCTCTGCAGACCCGAGGGTCTGTCTCTTCTCACCGGCAGGAGGCTCCCCGGGGGCCCTCCCTGAAAGGGGATTCTGAGCTGGTTCTGATGTCAGGGTTTCAGGTGATATTAGCAAGAGCCCCTGAGGTAGACTTTCAACTAAGGCCCCTAGAGCCTCAGGGTCACTGGGCTCTGTTTCCTTGCAGCTTCCTGGGATATCCTTATTGACAAGCTTGGAGACCTGTTCCATCCACAGTCCGGGAGGTTCTCTCCTCCTCCTCCCACTGCCTACGCTCCCACCTTCCCCAGAAACTCCCTGCCAGCTCAGGTCTTCAGTAGGGCTGCTATCTAACAACAACTTGCTCTTCCTGGCAGGCAACATGTGGCCAGAAGAACAAGAGGACAGGGAGGGCTCCTCCTCAGGGGATGATGTGGGAATGGGGCTTTGGCCCTTGTCCCCTCCAGGGCCAGTGGAGCTCAGTTTGGCTAAGCTGTGGCTGTGCTGCTCCCCTTTCAGCGGCAGGCCCTTGATGGCTTCAGAAAGCTTTGAGTGGACAGGGGCCTGGCTCCTGCTTTCTACCACATCCTGCACATTTTGGAGAAGCCCAGTGTTCTGAGGGGCTGGAGTGCCCAGTTTCTGCTGTCTGCTCCTCATTTCCAGCTCTTCTGTTTCAGGGTCTGAAAACCCCAGGTAGATTTTCTCTGTCGCCTTCTGGAGTTTCTCCAGACCCTGCTGATCACCTAATTCTCTCCTGCATTGGGCTGAGGCCCTGCCTAAAATTTTCTCCATGTCAGCAAAGACCTGGTGGATTTGGGAAGTTTGGCCTTTGAAGAGTGGCTGCAGCTTTCTGGGAAGGGCACCCATGAAACGCCAGGGGGTGTCGCCCAGCATGCCTGGGCTCTTTCCTTTGTTATAGGATCCCTCACTTCTAGCCTGAATCTCTTGATCTAGGTCCAGATCAGGAAGCCCAGGTGCTGACGGAGGGGACAGGCTGCAGAGAAAGGATGAAGGAGGCAGAAGTCCCTTCTCAGGCTGCGTTTCCTAGATGGGTATATAAACATGCAGAGAAAACGAAGACAAAGCACTTCTGATTTACACTTGCTACCTCACCCCTTGGTAAGCCCTCAGCAGAAACCCACCCTCTCTATTCAAAGTAAAGCACAAACTGAAGAGGGAAGAAAAGATAAAAACTCTCTTGGGCTGAAAATATATTGTTTTCTAGGCTCCAGTTTCCTTATTTACAAAGAGGAGGCTGGACTAGATCAATGGTTTGCAAACCTTGCTCCATGGAACCTGGGAAGTTCAGTACCTTGGGGTACTATATTGTGCATGTGACAGAGAAGAGGTGTCACAAAGACCTACACTGCCAAGTTCAACCAAAGAAGCTCCATTTCTTTTTGTATAAGCTGGACCTCTATAGAGGAACTGACTTGAAGACAGGGCTCTATTACAAACTAAAGTCTGAAAATCGCTAACCAGACTATCCCTAATGTACTATCCAGCTCTCAGATTCTGTGATTGATTAGTTTTATAAAATGCACCAACCTTGGGCCGTGTGTGGTGACTCATGTCTGTAATCACAGCACTTTAGGAGGCTGGGGCGGGTGGATCACTTGAGGTCAGGAGTTCGAGACCAGCCTGGCCAACATGGTGAAACCTCATCTCTACTAAAAATACAAAAAATTAGCTGGGCACAGTAGTGGGCGCCTATAATCCCTGCTTCTTGGGAGGCTGAGGCACGAAAATTGCTTGAACCCAGGGGGCAGAGGTTGCAGTGAGCCAAGATCATGCCACTGCACTCCAGCCTGGGCAACAGAGCAGGACGCTGTCTCAAAAAAAAAAAAAAAAGAAGAAGAAAAAAAAAAAAAAAGTCCACCAACCTTATCAAGGACACCCAGAAATTTTTTAACAGGGAGAGAAGAGAAGCATAACAAATGACCCGAGACTTGAAAACTCAGTCTAGCATTGTCTACCAAGTGAACCAGTTGGTATTGTTGAAAGACCTCCACATGGTCACAGACCCTCTGGGCTAGAAAAACTTCTAAAAAATTAACCACCCCTCTACAAACATTCACACTGAACCCCAGTTGGCTGTGAGTGCACACCTCCAGAGAGTCCAAACCACTTGCGTCCAGGCTGCCTGCCTGGCTGAGAGCTGTCCCCTGGACAAACTCAAGTTTGAGGCACCTGTCCTGAGCCCTAAGAACCAGACTGACAGTGCAGGGCTGTCCCATTTTCTTCACTTCCTGCAATCATGGAAGGAACTCTTTTTAACAGAGGGCTCTAAGAACCCAATCACACATCTACATCTCAGTCCTTTACCCAGCTCTCCACCTCAGAACCCTCACTTCATTCCGTCTCCCGCCTTTCGTCAAGCCACAGTCTGCCCAGATGCCTGACTACCATTTCAAATAATCCGGGGTCCGTGAAAAGCCCTGTGGCCACCTTTTGCCATTCGAAAACATGACATTGGAAAATCTAGCCTAGCTGGAAATTATCTGCCCTCTTTTCTCCATCTGGAGGAATGGGCTTGTTACCGTGTTTCTCAAAACATGAGTAGTATGTCAGGGAGGGGAGGGAAGAGAGAAGTGTCTGCGGAGCTTGGACCAGAGGAAGCACAAGGCTCTGGAGGGAAATAAAAGCTGTAAGAGCAAAACAAGTGGACCACTGAAGAGGGCTGAAACGATGTTCCCAGTGCTCGCCACGGGCTGAGCTGAGTTCCTATGTCCCTCTCTCTCTTCAGCATGCCCCACCTGCCCCAGGCCTGGGTAAAGGGACCACTACAGCATTCTGGGAGAGCCTGGGCCTCACTTTGGTATGGCTCCAGGTCTTAGTTGCTCCACCTAAATCATGTGGGCAATAACTCCACCTCCTAGGTTCAGACGTACTAAAGGGACAAATGAAACAATAATTAATATGAATACTTTGAACTCAAATACAAAAGCTACTTATAACCAAGGAAATCAGGCTGGGCGTGGTGGCTCTCGCCTATAATCCCAGCACTTTGGGAGGCTGAGGCTGGTGGATCACTTGAGGTTAGGAGTTTGAGACCAGCCTGGCCAACATGGTGAAACCCCATCTCTACTAAAAATACAAAAATTAGCCAGGCATGGTGGCGGACACCTGTAGTCCCAACTACTCAGGAGGTTGTGGCAGAATTGCTTGAGCCTGAAAGGCAGAGGTTGCAGTGAGCTGAGATCACGCCACCGTACTCCAGCCTGGGTGACAGAGCGAGACTCCGTCTCAAAAAAAACAACAACAAGGAAATCACATGGCAATTAAACTTCAGTTACCCACCACTCACTGAGGACACTGGCAAAAATCTAGATGAGCAGATAAAGCCCAAGGCTTTTCTCTGGAATCTTGAAGGCACCCGGTGTTTTGACAACTAAATTATGGCTACATCTGATATCTAGGAATTCACACCGCCTTAAGACAAATAAGGAACCCACACTGGGGAGGCCTGACTCTGAACAGGAGAAAGGACACTTCACTCAGCTCACTGGCCTCTGCCAACCGCCTTCAGTTCCCGCTCTCCAGAGCAGCCGATGCCATTACTGCTACTACTACTGCAAAAACCATTCTCAGAAGAGGACTCTGTCTCATCAATCCTATTAGGTAACATGCACTTCCCAAGTGGGGAGAAAAGGAAATGTGTAGACATGGCAACAACTTCCAGAATTCCAAAAGCTGAAAGGAAAATCGACCAGAAGACAGGCAAAGTTTAGATGATATACTATCAAGAATTTACCATATTCTGACTGTTGTCTTCAACCTCCCAGCTGCAGACACCTAGAGGTTCCCAATGTCCCTCCAGATTTCAGCCCTGGCCTCTCTGGGAGGAGGCATCCACTGACTCACCAGGGAACTTTTGGGGGTCTCTTTGTCCTTCTTGTCTTTCTTTTCCTTTTTTTTTTTCTTCTTCTTAACGGTCCCAGAAGTTGACAGCTTTGCCCGCTCTTGGATCACCAAGTTCCGATAGTGTTCGTCACATGGATGGTCCCACATAGACTGCCCGTTGGCAAAGTTGAAATAGTAAATGTCACCTGTGATGTCCTGGCTGGGGACGGGCAGAGTTCAGAAGTTAGTCCCTGCTCAGTTACAAAAGAAGAAAAAGAAAAAGAGGGGAAAAAAAGAAAAAGGGAGAGCAGGTAAAAGAGGAGGAACAGCGGGGGTGGAAAAGGGAGGGAGAAGATGGAATGAGAGGGGTTAAGAGCCGAGGGAAGGAAAGGATTAACACAGAGTCAAAGGGTACCATTTGGTTAAGAAGGAGTTAGCTTAGATATAGGAAGAAAGGATTGGGATACCTAATCTCTATATGCTGATGTATAATCACTGCAGTTCTTGAGAATGCATGCTGGACTAGTATAGGAACAAACTTGGTTTTATTTAGATGGAGAAGTATAAAAACTATAGTATGTTGAACATAAGTGCTAGGATAAATCTTAATATTTTAATAAACAGTCTGAGGAAGAACAATGCATTGTGAGAGCTCTGGTTTTACAGAAGACTCTAAACTCATAAGAAGCAATAATCCTGCCGGGCGTGGTGGCTCACGCCTGTAATCCCAGCTACTCAGGAGGCGGAGGCAGGTCAGGAGTTCAAGACCAGCCTGACCAACATGGAGAAACCCCATCTCTACTAAAAATACAAAATTAGCTGGGGTGGTGGTGGGCGCCTGTAATCCCAGCTACTCGGGAGGTTGAGGCAGGAGAATCACTTGAACCCAGGAGGCAAGATCATGCCATTGCACTCCAGCCTGGGCAACAAGAGCGAAACTCCATCAAAAAAAAAAAAAAAAAAGTAATAATCCAAGCTAGTGTGGACCAATGGTAGAAGAAAATAATGTAGGAGGTATATTTCAAGAATCTGTGTTTCAACATGGACAAGTCCAAAATAAGCCACTCATCTCATCCACCATTAACAACAATCTATTAGGACAGCTAACAGGAAAAATGAAGTCCACTCACAACAGTAATGCAAAATATTTTATACTCACGCATAAACCTAAAATGTGCAAAATCTTTATAGAGTTTTACTGACAAGTCAGAAAAAAGAAAAACACCCACGGGAGAGGCATTCAGTATTCCAGAACAGAAAGACTCAAGTCTGTAAAGATGTCAATAATCCCAAAATTAATATATAAATCCAATACAATCCCAATCAAGCTCCTTATGAAATCTGACAAGCCGAATCTCAATTCAAACATAAGAGCAAACGAAAAATAAATGAGAAAATGAGCAGAAATAAAAAAAATCAGGGGTAAAAAAGGACACTGATAGAAGATATGCAAATGACCAATAAGCACATGAAAAGATGTTCCACATCACTAAACATTGGGAAAATGCAAATCAAAACTATTCTGAAATGCTACTTCACACCGTAAGCATGGCTATTATCAAAAATCTAAAAAATGAGCCTTGGCAACATAGTGAGACCCTGTCTCTACAAAAAATGAAAAAAATTAGCCAGGCACAGTGACACACATCTGTAGTTCCAGTTACTCAGGAGACTTGAGGTGGGAGGATCGTTTGAGCCCAGGAGTTCAAGGCTACAAGGCTGGGTGTGGTGGCTCACACCGCTAATTCCAGCACTTTGGGAGGCCGGGGCAGGTGGATCACCTTAGGTCAGGAGTTCAAGACCAGCCTGATCAACATGGTGAAATCCCATCTCTACTAAAAAATACAAAAATTGGCTGGGCATAGGGGCTCACGCCTGTAATCCCAGGACTTTGGGAGGCCAAGGTGGGCAGATCACAAGGTCAGGAGTTCAAGACCAGCCTGACCAACATGGTGAAACCCTGTCTCCACTAAAAATACAAAAATTAGCCAGGCGTGGTGGCGCATGCCTGTAATCCCAGCTACTCGGAAGGCTGAGGCAGGAGAATCGTTTGAACGGGGGAGGTGGAGGCTGCAGGGAGCCAAGGTCGCACCACTGCACTCCAGCCTGGGTGACAGAGCAAGACTCCGTCAAAAAAAAAAAATTAGCTGGGCGTGGTGGCATGCACGTATAATTCTAGCTATTTGGGAGGCTGAGTCAGGAGAATCACTTGAACCCAGGAGGTGAAGGTTGCAATGAGCTGAGATTGTGCCATTGACCGCCAGCCTGGCAGACAGAGGAACCCTTGTACACTGCTGGTAGGAACGTAAAATGGTGCTGCCACTTTGGCAAACAGCATGGGGGTTCCTCAAAAAAATTAAATCAAATTTAATATTAAATAAAAATTAAATAATTTTAAAATAGCTGGGTACCATGGTGCACACCTGTAGTCCCAGCCACTTAAGAGGCTGAGGCAGAAGGATCCCTTGAGCCCAGCAGTTTGAGGCTACAGTGAGCTATGATTATGCCACTGCACAGCCTGGGTGACAGAGCAATACCCCATCTCTAAGAAAAAAATTAATTTAATTTATAATAGAATTACCATGTGACCCAGCAATTCCATTTCTGGGCATATACCCAAATGAATTGAAAGCAATAATTCAAACAGCTATTTGTACACCAATAATCACAGCAGCATTATTCACAATAGCCAAAAGACGGAAAGAAGACCAAATGTCCATTGACAGATAAATTGATAAATAGGGCTGGGTACAGTGGCTCACGCCTGTAATCCCAACACTTTGGGAGGCAAAGGTGGGTAGATTACTTGAGGTCAGGAGTTCGAGACCAGCCTGGCCAACATGGTGAAACTCCATTTCTACTAAAAATACAAAATTACCCAGGCATGGTGGCACATGCCTGTAATCCCAGCTACTCAGGAGGCGGAGGCAGGAGAATCGCTTGAACCCAGAAAGCGGAGGTTGCAGTGAGCCAAGGTCGCACCACTACACTCCAGCCTGGGCGACAGAGCGAGACTCTGTCTCAAAAAAAAAAAAAAAAAAGATAAATAGAATGTTGTATATACATGCAATGGAATATTATTCAGCCTTAAGAAAAAATTCTCACGCATGCTACAACATAGATGCACCTTGAGGATATTATGCTAAGTGAAAGAAGTCAGACACAAAAGGACAAATATTGCATAATTCCACCTATATAAAGTACCTAGAATAGGCAAATTCATAGAGCCAGAAAGCTGAATGGTGATTGCCAGAGATTAAGGAGAAAGGAAAATGGGGAATTCATATGTAATGGCTATCGAGTTTCAGTTTGGGGATGAAAAAATTCTGGAGATGAATGGTAGTGATAGCCATGTAACATTGTAAATGTACTTAATGCTGCTGAATTGTCCACTCAAAAATGCTTAAAATGGTAAATTTCATGTTATATATATTTTACCACAATTAAGAAAAAATATATACAAATGTATTGACTTCAGTATGACAAAAGAAAGCATAAACCAAATTAAAAGACATGTGACTGGGATAAAATAGTAGAAATAGTGGTAAGATACCACTACTATTACCCAGAATACCCAGAATTATCAAAGAGTTCTGTCACCTTAACAAAAATAAAAGATAAGCAATCTACTAGACAAAAAGGCAAGAGATATAAACAGGTAAATCACAAAAGATCAACAGATGGCTAACTCAACTCTACAAACAACTTGGGAAATGCAATTTAAAATGATCCATTGTTATTTGTTGCCCTTGGATTGACTTTTTTTTTTATTGACAATTTTTTAATTGATAGTATTTCTAGGCTAGGCACTGTGGCTCATGCCTGTAACCCCAACACTCTAGGAGACTGAGGCAGGTGAATTGCTTGAGCTTAGGAGTTCAAGACCACCCTAAGCAACATGGCATAACCCCATCTCTACAAAAAAAAATACAAAAATTAGCCACACATGGTGACATACACCTGTAGTCCCAGCTACTGGGGAAGCTGAGGTGGGAGGATCTCTTGAGCCCAGGAGTTAGAGGCTGCAGTGAGTCATGATCGTACCACTGTACTCCAGCCTGGACGATAGAGCAAGACTCTATCTCAAAAACAACAACAACAACAAAAACTTCAATATACTAAAAACGGGATAAAAAATTGTCCTTATTTGCAGATTACATTTTTCTACAGGGTAAATATGTCCTAGAGACATTAAAGAAAACCTAAATACTGCAAATGGAAACAGACCATGTTCATGGGTTGAAAGTATTGTTTAAGATGTCAATTTTCCCCAAATTGATTTACAGAGTCAACTCAACCACAATAAAAATCCTAATAGGAAACTGACAAGCTATTCTTTTTTTTGGAGACGGCGTTTCGCTCTTGTTGCCCAGGTTGGAGTGCAAAGGCATGATCTCGGCTCACTGCAACCTCCAACCTGCCAGGTTCAAGTGATTCTCCTGCCTCAGCCTCCCTAGTAGCTGGGATTACAGGCATGTGCCACCACACCCGACTAATTTTGCATTTTTAGTAGAGACGGGGTTTCTCCATGTTAGTCAGACAGGTCTTGAACTCCTGACCTCAAGTGAACTGCCCGCCTTGGCCTCCCAAAGTGCTGGGATTACAGGCATGAGCCACCATGTTCGGCCTCGGAAACTGACAAGCTATTCTAAAATTCATATGGAAATACAAAATACCTAGAATGTGACTTTGAAAATGGAGAACAAAGTTGGAGGATTTACCTTAAATGATTTCAAGATTTATCATAAAACTATATAATCAAGACAGAATGGTACTGGTGTGAAGACAGACAGATAACTCAGTGGAAGAGAGCAGAGGATCCAGAAACAGCCTCACTTCATGGCCAATTAGGAAAATATCTAAATATCCTTCAATATAAGACTAGTCAAATAAATCAAGATTTTTGAAAATTGTGGTACATCTCTACACAGGAAAGTATGCAGCTGATACAAGAAAGAGTAGGCCTACACAAACGGACATAGAAGAACAGTGTATATAATAAAGTGCTTATGTTTAAAACTAAACCATTGTGGGGGGGGTGCATACATGTGTATTAAAAGAGTCTAGAGAGAATTTACCAATTAATAGTAATTACCCTTAGTAAAAGAAGAAGGGTAAAAGATGGGTAAAGAAAAAGAAGGGTAAAAATGTATGTACACCTACGTTTTAATGACTCATTTTATTTGTTTTTGGGACAGGTTCTCTCTCTCCCCGACGCTGAAGTGCAGTGATGCAATCTCGGCTCACTGCAGCCTCAATCTCCCAGGCTAAAGTGATCCTCCTAACTCAGCTTCCGAAGTAGCTGGGACTAAAGGTGCATGTCACCACCCCTACTTAATTTTTGAATTTTCTATAGAGACAGAGTTTCGCCAGATCGCCCAGACTGGTCTCAAACTCCCGAGCTCAAGCAATCCCCCAAACTCGGCCTCTCAAAGTGCTTGGATTATAGGTGTAAGCCACCACGCCTGGCCAATTTATTTTAAAAAGTGAAAAATAGTCTGGGCGCGGTGGCTCATACCTGTAATCCCAGCTACTTGGGAGGCTGAGGCAGGAGAATCGCTTGAACCCAGGAGATGGAGGTTGCAGTGAGCCGAGATCATGCCATTGCACTCCAGTCTGGGCAACAAGAGCGAAACTCCGTCTCAAAAAAAAAAAAAAAAAGATCAAGAAAACAAAGAGCCTGCCATGGGAGGAAAAGCTAGAAGGACTGCGATCCTTCAGCTAAGAGTAAGGCGACAACTGTAATCACTTTGAGCTATGGGCAACACAGTGAATGGTATGAATGGGATGATTACGCCTTGTCTACAAAATTGCACAAAACCAGCAGAAGAGGGGACCCCCAGGATACCTGAGGACCAGTTTGGGATAAGCATAGGGAAATCCCAATCTAAGGTAGGAAGTAAATTTATGGCACTCACTTTAGGGAGACAAGCTGGAGAGAGCTCTATGCATGTGATTAGGAAGAGTAATGCAAGACAGGAGGACACAGTAGACACGGAGAACACAGAGAACAGTGTCACCATGAGCAGGGAGCCCTGCAGTCCTCAGGAGAAGGAGGGAGACAGCAGCAGTGACATGGCTCCTTCTAGCTCCCCAACCTTGGCCACTCTGTCTTTCCTCTCCATAAACCTCTGTCTCCCTGAGACAACCTGAGTGAATCACGGCTCCTTCCAACCCAAAGAGCTCTAGCCAAAATGAAAATACCAATGAATCCGTGAATGGGAACCTATTCATGAATAGGTTACATCAATTCAGATATGGCAGAGCCAGGTGTTCCCAAGGGACACAGAAACCCTTTGCTGGTCTGCATGGCCTCACTGCAAACCTCTTTAACACCAGCATCTCATTTTATTTTTTTTTTTTATTTTATCTTTTTAAGTAGTCATTTTATTTATTTATTTTGGTTTTGTTTTTTTTTGAGATGGAGTCTCGCTCTGTCGCCCAGGCTGGAGTGCTGCGCGGCAATCTCGACTCACTGCAACCTCTGCCTCCCAGGTTCAAGTTATTCTCCTCAGCCTCCTGAGTAGCTAGGACTACAGGTGTGTGCCACCGTGCCCAGCTAATTTTTTGTATTTTTAGTAGAGACAGGGTTTCACCATCTTGGCCAGGTTGGTCTCGAACTCCTGACCTCAAGCAATCCACCCACCTCAGCTTCCCAAAGTGCTGGGATTACAGGCGTGGGCCACCGTGCCCGGCAAGACCAGCATCCATCTTAGACATGCTAAGGAGGTAAAGTTGTCTGTTACAGTATCAGTCTGTAAGGAGTAACAACAGCCCCTCAGCACATCCTAAACAGATGCTGGTGCTAGAGGACCGGATCCAAGGCATAGCTCCTGTGGCCTTAGATATAAGCATTGAACCCCAACCTAGGGACCGTCCAGTCAGCCTACACTGAAGCCTGAAATAGCAGGCAGCATAGCAGAGGGGTGGCACAGTACTGTCCCTGACTGCACAGTATAGGATTGGAAAAGCAGGCCAGGCCAAACTCATCTCCAGTGTTAGCTTCCCTCTGCCTCTGCTAGGCCAAGTCACTGGGCCACACCCCCTACTGACTTACCATGGTTTCCACTCCCCAGGCAGTGGGGCCACAATGCCCTCCCGCGCCAGCCACATCAGTTCTGGTTCCTTGATGGGATCAATACCAATCTCCCGGGCAAATTCAAGAATTTCTGAAAGGAGAGGCAGAGGTGGGAAAGTAAAAGAAATGAAAAGAAGAAAAAAACTCTCAATCTTTTTCTACTTTGTCTTCTCTCCATCAATGAGAAAATCATATTCTTTAAATTATAAACAATAAACATATAATTGTTTCCTTACAATTTATAAATGGTACACTTGAATCCAAGCATGCTGTCTCCACACTACAATGATATAATCTGAAGCCAAGCATTAAAAATGCAAAAAATAGGCAGGCGCGGTAGCTCATGCCTATAATCTCAGCACGTTGGGAGACCGAGGCAGGTGGATCACAAGGTCAAGAATTCGAGACCAGCCTGGCCAACATGGTGAAACCCCATCTCTACTAAAAATACAAAAATTAGCCCAGTGTGGTGGCGTGTGTCTGTAATCCCAGCTACTCTGGAGGCTGAGGCAGGAGAATTGCTTGAACCTGGGAGGAGGGGGTTGCAGTGAGCTGAGTTCACGCCATTGCATTCCAGCCTGGGTGGCGAGAGCAACGCTTCATCTCAAAAAAGAAAAAAAAAAGGTAAAAAATAAAATAAAACCAAGACTTCATTCCAGCAGGGCCTCAGAGGCAAGAACCCCAAAACCATAGCCAGAACCATCCAGGATGAGCACAGCCTTACCAGAAGGTAGTAAGCTCTCCCAAGATTTGCAAAAGCTTGGTGCAAAAGCACTCATCACTCAGTCAACAAACATGTACTGAACAACTACAAGTGACTGTGCTCCTCCAAGACATCACAAACACACAAATGGAGTACAACCCAGGTGACACATGCTGTAATGAAGACGTGTCCTGTATGCTATGGGTGCAGAGAGAAGGCAGTGACTGATTCTGCCTAGGGGCAGGGAGTTATCTGAGCTGAGAAAGTGGATGATATGAGCTCAAGCAGGCTGAACCCCCACTCACTGAACCCTCTCTTCCATGAAGGGAGTTGCCTCTTTTTCAATGTTGCTATATATTACGACCCTAATACTTTTGTTCTGGCTGGGTGCAGTGGCTCATGCCTGTAAGCCCAGCACTTTGGGAAGCCAAGGTGGGAGGATCGCCTGAGTCCAGGAGATCAAGACCAGCCTGGGCAACATGGTGAGAACCCGTCTCTACAAAAAATACGAAAATTAGCTGGGCGTGCTGGCATGTGCCTATAGATGGCAGTTACCCAGGAAGCTGAGGTGGGAGCTTACTTTCTAGTAGAAGAGACAGCCAGCAATGAGCTTGAGGAGGTCAAGGCTACACTCCAGCTGGGGGGACAAAGACTTCATCTCAAACAAACAAAACTTTTTTGTACTCTGGAAATTAAGTATTTAGAAAAGCTCTTTTGCCACAGAACTGAAAGACAGTGGAGATATACGTTCTGACTTAAGCACTATCTCAGTCAAGCACTGTGGTTCATGCCTGTAATCCCAGCACTTTGGGAGGCCAAGGTGGGCAGATCACTTGAGCTCTGGATTTTGAGACCAGCTTGGGCAACATGGAGAAACTCCGTCTTTATAAAAAATACAAAAATTAGCCAGGCATGGTGGCATGTGCCTATAGTCCCAGCTACTCAGGGGGCTGAGGCAGGATAATCGCTTGAGCCCAGGAGACGGCAGTTGCAGTGAGCTGAGATCCTGCCATTGTACTCCAGCCCGGGCGACAAGAGTGAAATCCTGTTCAAAAAAAAAAAAGAGCTATCTCATGTACAGTAAAAAAGATAAATGAGATAACCATTGGAACATGTCACCAGAACCCCCAGAAATGATTAAATAAATATGCAAATGACATTAATGCTTAAGCTGGTGATAGCCCAGGCCAGAAGGGCATCACCAATGAGCCATCGCAGTGGAGAATTTGGAGGCTGACATACCTGGGAACTAGGAAAGAGAAAATATTTTTTCAAAGGACTGCCTGGAACTTGACTGACCAGACTAATTTATTCATTTTTCACAAATATGTTTGAGTGTCTCCTATGTACCAGTCACTAGGAGCCATGAATAAGAAAAAAACTAGTCACTGCCTTTGTAGAGCTTACATTCTAGTAGAAGAGACAGCCAGCAATGAAGTAAACAGTTAAATATACAAAAATTAAAACTTCTGATAAACGCAATGAAGGAAGTAAATGAGGTATGAGCTAGAGAACGTCAGGGTGGAAGAGCATTCCTTTAGAAATGATGGTCAAGGAATCAAGCTATTGCACTCCAGCCTGGGCAACAAGAGTGAAACTCCGTCTCAAAATAATAATAATAATAATAATAATAGAAATGATGGTCAAGGAATGCCTCTCAGCAATGTTGATAGTTAACTGAAACCTGCACAAGCGAAAGGAGCCAGCCATGCAGAGCACTAGAAAAAGAGCATTCACGTAGAAGAAGCACAGGTGCAAAGGATCTGTGACAACCGGTAGCTCTGGGGACTGTCCGAAAGCCAGTATAGCCAGGCATGGTGATGCACACCTGTAATCCCAGTACGTTGGGAGACTGAGGTGGGTGGATTGCTTGAGCCCAGGAGTTCAAGACCAGCCTGGGCAACACAGCAAGACCCCATCTCTAACAACAAAATACAAAAATTAGCTGGGCCTGATGGCATGCACCTGTGTGGTCCCAGCTATTTCGGAGGCTGAGATGGGAGAATCACTTGAGCCCAGGGGAGGGGGGTCAAGGCTTCAGTAAGCCAAGTTCACGCCACTGCACTTCAGTCTGAGTGACAGAGTGAAACTCGGTCTCAAAAAAAAAAATTCCAATGTGACTGGTAGAGACAGCCCGGTCACAGAGCCCTGCAATCCCATCAAGGGTGTTATGTTGAGTTATGGGGGTGGGGGGTACTAAAAGCACAACCCTGACGTGATCTGCTTTATAAGCAGTAAGGCTAATTGATTAGGAAGCTACTGAGATAACCCAGGAAGAGAAAATGGTGGCTTGAGGTTAGAATGCCTATACCTGGACTGGGCAGAAGAAAGTTTTTATAAACATCCTTAGAAAAACCTTTGACTCCATTTACAACAGCAACCAAATGTATACAAATTTAAGAAATATGCCGGTCATGGCCGGGTGCAGTGACTCACACCTGTAATCTCAGCACTTTGGGAGGCCGAGGCGGCTAGATCACCTGAGGTCAGGAGTTCAAGACCAGCCTGACCAACATGGTGAAACCCTGTCTCTGCTAAAAATACAAAAATTAGCTGGGTGTGGTGGCGTGCACCTGTAGTCCCAGCTACTCAGGAGTCTAAGACAGGAGAATCACTTGAACCTGGAGGTTGTAGTGAGCCGAGCTCACGCCACTGTACTCCAGCCTGGGCGACAAAGCAAGACTCTGTCTCTAAAGAGAAAGTAGGAAAGAAAGAAAGAGGCCAGTCGTAGTGGCTTATGTCTGTAATCCCTGCACTTTGGGAAGCCCAGAAAGGAGGATCACTTGAACCCAGGAGTTCAAGATGAGCCTGGGCAACACAGTGAGATCCTATCCCTACAAAAAAATTTATTTTAATTAGCCAGACACATGGCATGCACCTGTAGTTCTAGCTACATGGGAGGATCACTTGAGCCCACGAGTTCAAGGCTGCAGTGAGCTATGATGGAGCCACTGCATACCAGCCTGGGTGACAGAGTAAGACTGTCTCTATAAACAAAAATATGGAAAACAAAGAAACGCCCTATGCTATAAGCACAGTCCAATATTTAACATGAGATCCATGTATTCCTAGAGGTGCAAGAATTGTGCACCCTGCTGTCAGGTCCATGAACCACCTGAATTATAAGCAAACTTTGTATGCCCAGATCATAACTCGTCAGAATTTCAAAGAAACTTTCGCTCCAAAAAACTGCTTAGTGCTTCAAAGTGCAGGCCCTATGGCCAGGCACAAGTGGTTCATGCCTGTAATCCCAATACTCTGGGAGGCCAAGATGGGCAGATTACTTGAGGTCAGTTTGAGACCAGCCTGGCCAACATGGCAAAACCCCATCTCTACTGAAAATACAAAAAAAATTACCTAGGCATGGTGGCACGCATCTGTAGTCCCAGCTACTGGGGAGGCTAAGGCAGGAGAATCACTCGAACCTGGAAGGCGGACGTTGCAGTGAGCAGAGATCCCGCCACTGCCCTCCAGCCTGGGCGACAGAGTGAAACTCCCATCTCAAAAAAACAAAACAAAACAAAACAAAAAGTGCAGGCCCTAGAGTTTGAACACCTGGAGGTGGATTCTAGCCACACCACTTAGAATAGAACTGTATATCCACAGGAAGTTAATCTTTCTGTGCCTTGGTTTCCTCATCTGTAAAATGGGGATAATAATAGTACCTAACTCAGAGAGTTGCAGTGAGGGTTGAAAAGGTAATATACATGGGCCAGGCATGTGTCTCCCGCCTGTAATCCCAGCACTCTGGGAGGCGGAGGTGGGAAGATCACTTGAAGTCAGTTTGAGACCAGCCTGACCAACATGGTAAAACCCCTTCTCTACTGAAAATACAAAAATCAGTTCCCCAGGTGTGGTGGCGGGCATCTGTAGTTCTAGCTACTCAGGAGGCTGAGGAACGAGATTTGCTTAAACCCGGGAAGGGGAGGTTGCAGTGAGCCAAGATCACAGCATTGCACTCCAGCCTGGGTGACAGAGTAAGACTCTGTCTCAAAAAAAATAAAATAAAATAAAAGGTAATAAGGTAATACATGTAAAGTGCTTAAAACAGAGGCTGGCACATAATAAGTTATGTTGTTATTGTTATTAATAATGTTATTATTGTTGTTTAAAAAAACTCTGTTCTAAGTTTGTGTTTAGGAAATTGGGTTTCCCCTGGTCACAGAACACACTGTATTTAGATATCCCCTAATATGTTTCCATTTAAATCTAATCATTGCTCTAACCCAGAGACAGCAAATTTTTCTGTAAACAACTGGATAGTAACTATTTTAGCCTTTGTGGGTCATACACCTCTCTTACAGCCACACATCTCTGTAGCTATAGCATAAAAGCAGCCACACACAATACATAAACCAGTGTGACTGTTTTCCAATGAAGGTTTATTTACAAAAACAGGCAAGTAGCTGGGCATGGTGGCTCACGCCTGTAATCCCAGCACTTTGGGAGCCAGAGGCAAGCAGATCGCTTGAGGTCAGGAGTTCGAGACCAGCTTGTCCAACATGGTGAAACCCATCTCTACTAAAAGTACAAAAATTTGCCAGGTGTGGTGGTGCATGCCTGTAGTCCCAGCTTCTCGGGAGGCTGATGTGAGAGAATCACTTGAACCCAGGAGGCAGGGGTTGCAGTGAGCTGAGATCACGCCACTGCACTCCAGTCTGGGCAACAGAAAGAAACTGAAAAAAAAAAAAACAGGCAAGAGGCCAAGGTAGGCTCACATCTGACCTAACCCAAATACACTAAGCAACTCTGTACATGTGCCATACTTTGCACTGAAAGAACAAAAATAAACCAGACATAATCCCTGTCCTCAAAAAACAAACACAATACACCACAGGCCTCTTCGCAGACTTGTTACCTTGCTCACTAGGAATGTAGGTCTCATCATAATCTTCTTCCAGAACCAGCTGATCTCCTATGCGGAGGGGTCGTCCAGCCATGACTCATCTGGGCTCAAACACCTAGATCCCAGAGACCCCCACCAAAATAGAAAATCAGTGACCAAGCTTAATAGGGGAAAAGATGGCGCTGGGTCATGGAGCATCTGGATCAAACCAGACTCTGCACAGCAATTTGGCCAGGGCCTTCCCAAGTGCCAGGTATAGTGGAGGGTGAAACCAACAACTCAAGGCTCACAGGCTCTGCGCCTGGGAAAGGTCTCCCAAAGGCTTGATGAACACTTGGTGAACCACAAAACATCTTCAAGCCTGGCTCTGTCAAGAGTTTGACTTTGTACCTCCCCCAGACAGAAGAAACAATTACAACACAGAACCACCAAGTAGAAGATCCTAGGGACACCAAAGTAACCAGCAGCACACAGACACCCATACACCAGCACACTTCCATGGCACACCCCCATCTCAACACATATTCCTATCTGGATGTCTCGATTCATATCCAAAATGCCCTCAGGAAGCTTACAATCCAGTGGCGGGAACGACCTCAAGAGCGGCAGAAGGCAGAAGGGAAAAAAGCTTCCTGTTCTGGGAGTACTAAGATAAGGGCAAAAAATTCCCCCACAGAAAGGAAGGAAGGAAGGCTGACAAGAATTCTGATGGTGGAGAAAGGCATTCTAGACAGAGGGAGCATCTCGTACAGACAGGTGTTCCAGAGTGCGAATACCAGCGTGTGACCGGCTGCTCACACAGAGCCTCGCAGACCATGCTGAAGAGCCTCCACCCTGTCCTACCGCAGAGGGGAGGCGCTGAGGGCTCTGGTGAAACAAAGCATCACAGGGTGGCCTTTTTTTTTTAGGACAAGAAGTCTGGCAGGACTGGCACAGCTGGATTGGAGAAATTAGAGACTGGTGTCAGGAAAACCACCTGAGAAGGCTGCTGCCCAGGGGCAAGATGATGAGGGTTTTAACTAGGGCAGAAGCAGGGGAATGAAGAAGGGACAGTCAGAACGGACCCAGTGATGTTAAGCTTAATAGGACCAGGATATGAGGGAAAGAGTGGAAAGGAGCTACATCCCTCCAAAATTCACATACGTATATACTGGGGGTTTTTTTTTGGTTTTTTTTTTAACAGAGATGGTGTCTCACTATGTTGCCCAGGCTGGTCTTGAACTCCTGGGTGCAAGCAATCCCCCCGCCTCAGCCTCTCAAAGTAAGAAAAATTCACATATTGAAGCCCTAATCCACAATGTGACTGGATCTTTAGGAGATAATTAAGGTTAAATGAGGTCATTAAGGTTAAATGGCCTGATAGGATTAAAAAGAGAGAAAGAGAGAAAGGACCAGGAACCAGGGTGGCAGATGGGGCCCACTGCCTAGTGGCTTAGAGCTCTGTCTCTGCCATATGAGGACACAGCAAGAAGGCAGCTGTCTGCAAGGCAGGAACCCGGAAGAGACCTTGATATGGGCCTTCCAGCTTCCAAAACTATGAGAAAAGAGATTTCTGCTGTTTGAGCCCCCTAGTCTACGGTATTGTGTTACGGCAGCCCAAGCTAAGACAGAACCCAAGGTTTCTAGCTCCAGGGATGGGGCGGCGCCAAATTCTTCAACTGACAAGTCGGTGCACTTCTAGAATTGCTCCTCTCTTCCCACCCCTACCTCAGGACCCCAGTTCCCACCAACTCTCCCCATGGCAGCTCCCGTGCTGCAGCCTGATGAATGAAGCAGGTCACCTGGGAAACTGCTGCCACACACAGCCCTACTCAGAGCACCTCCCCGACCTGCAGAGCAGTTGGCCACACCAGATGTGACCAACAGGAGTCTGGAGCCACAAGTCTTGACCTCTCCAGTTCCTACCTCCTCAAAAGCTGCCACTGTTCCTCCTAGAGCAGCAAGGATGAAATGGCCCTCTTCAAGCAGAAAGGCCCAGCCATTAAAAAGGTTAGGATCTGGGAGAACGCATCAAGCCCAGGGGGCCATGGAAATGCTGGAGGACACACCTAAACATGTGGAATCCCAACGCCGGACACCCAGGGTCAAATCCATATCCCCCTCAGCACTAGGTGCCCTGGAGGTTCCAATCCTGCCCACCCACCACCTATCAATCCACCCTTTCCCCCAGGCCCCTGTCCTCCTCCCCCAGGAGCTCCCAAGGGCAATCCAGCTTTCCTCCGACATGGGGCCCCTCATCCTGTGCCACAGCCAGGGTATCCAGGATGCCAACCTTCGGGTCCCTACCCTCCTCCATACCCACCACCTGCCCCTGGAATCCCTCCTGCAAATCCCTTGGCTCCTGGCATGGTCAGACCAGCAGTGATGATGGACAAGAAGAGGCAGAAGAAAATGAAGAAAGCTCATAAAAAGATGCACAAGCACCACAAGCATGGCAAGCATTCCTCCTCCTCTTCCAGCAGTGACTCTGACTAAATACAGGCCCTGGACCCTTCCCTCAAGTCTCACCAGTTCTGCTTTCCCCATCAGGCTTCAGATGCCATGCTGCACTGGGGGAGAGTAGCCCTTGTGCTCCCCACCCGCTATCCGCACCTAAGCCTTACCCTGCTGTTGAGCCCTGAGTGGCTAGGGAAAATGGGAAGAGGATTGCCATGGCCTGGCCATCTTCTTGCTGCTTAGATAGATGATACAGTTAATGAGTTTAGCAGGGGAGCTATTTTTTTTTGAAGACGATGAACTAAATGTTGAAGACAAGTTTGAGATCTGTAAAATGTGATTTTTTTTACTTCTGCTGATAATACTTGTGATTGGGGAGGTTTGTGGAAATTTAATTATGATGAAAAACCTCTATCTTTTTTTGTAATGTTGGCATACTTGTGGAATTCAGTGGCAAATACATTCCCCAGCAGGCCTTCTGTTGGTTGCACTAAGTGCAAGGTTGCTGGGAAGTAGAGTCTGTTTGGTTGATGAGCTTTGACTGCCGTTTTGGAACCTCACCTCTCCTCCTTAGCCCAATATGCTGTCTCAGGTCCTATTCTTGTTCTCCAGCTGTCAGTCCAAATAAAATTATTTCTCTGGTTTAAAAAAAAAAAAAAAAAAAAGTCAGGATCTGGCCTGGAAAGAGTATTCAGGAAACGGCTGGATCTGGAGACTCTGAATCTATTCCAAGTTTCCTAGAGACCCTTGACAAGCAACAAAGGTTCCATCAGGGACTGTTTACTGTGGTCCCCCTCTCTGTACCATGATAGCTAAGAGGTGGGCAACAGGAGTCCTGCCTTAGGACTCACAAGACATGGTTCCCTTTGTCAGTACACTGAACTTGAAGGAAGCCAGCTTCTGCCCGTCTCATTCCCACCATGCCACCTCCAAGCAGGAGGAAAACACCAAAGAAAAAGGGCTTCTTTCAGCAGTACATAAGCTGAAGTGGGAATGTGCTACCAACCCTCAGAAGAACCCGTAACATCCTGCAGATATGATGCCCCACTGTGCTACACGCACAGTCAGAGGTGACGTAGGCCTGACCACTGCTGACTCAAAAAGCTGAGCAGAAAAGGACCAGGAACCAGGGTGGCAGATGGGGCCCACTGCCCGGTGGCTTACAGAGTCACCTGAATTTTAATCCTCTTAGGGAGAGGAGAAGAGAAAAGGAAAGAATCCATGGGCAGGAAGGGCCCAGTGGTGGCCTGAACATTGGGGTGAATAAGCACTTCTCAAGCATGTACTCTATATGAGGTACTGTCTTAACTACCTCAGAGAATTTGAGAAATTCTGCATTTGAGAAATACTATCCCCTAGATACGTCCCATCTCCAGAAAGCACAGGACAGGTAGTCTCTGTCAGCATGGCAAAAAGACTAATTCGCTACATACGTAATTATCTATATTTACTTTTTTTTTTCTTTTTTTTGAAACGAAGTCTCCCTCTGTCACCCAGGCTGGAGTGCAGTGGCGTGTTCTTGGTTCACTGCAACCCGCCTCCCGGGTTCAAGCTATTCTCCTGCCTCAGCCTCCCGAGTAGCTGGGATTACAGGCACCCACCACCATGCCCGGCTAATTGGATTTTTAGTAGAGATGGGTTTTCACCATGTTGGCCAGGCTCATCTCAAACTCCTGACCACAGGTGATCCACCGGCCCTGGCCTCCCAAAGTGCTGGAATTACAGGCATGAGCCACCATGCCCGGTGATATATTTAACTATTTAAAGATCAGGAAAACTCTGGAAAATCTGAATTCATGGATCATCCAAATTCAAATAAATGTTATGCCAGAAAAAAATTAAAATATGGATGAGTTGTATTCTACCTTCTTTCCTTACCTTTTCTGGCTCTAGAAAAGATGTGGGCAAGGACAGGTCCAAAAGCGCAATGAGTTAAAGGAAAAAGGAACATGGGAAGAGAAGTCCTATCTATTTGCCTGTATGCAGTAGCAGGATGGCTACCAAAGACCATCTAGTCATTCGAGGAATATTTATTGGGCACCTACCACGTGCATTTATTTCTAGGCGCTAGAGATGCAATCGTGATTAAAACCAGATTCAGCTGCTGCTACTCTTGAGCTAGTCTGGGAAGGGAGGGAGACAAACCAATCAGTCACAGAGAAATGTATAATTAGAACTAAGGGAAGTGCTCTGAAGGAAATAAGCCTGATTTAGATGATGCCTACACTGAGAACTGAAGGATGAGTAGGTATTCACTAGACAAAGAAAATAAGGAAAGTGTGTTCTAACAGACGCATGAGAAAGTCCTTCAGCAGAAGGCAACACTAGGCGAGCAGCAGCACAGCTGGAGATGATGCTGGGGAGGCCAGTGGGAGCCAGGCCATGCAGACTTGGCCTTTATCATAAGAGAACTAGGGCTGGGCACAGTGGCTCACGCCGGTAACCTCAGCACTTTGGGAGGCCAAGGAGGGAGGATCACTTGAGCCCCGGAGTTCGAGACCACCCTGAGCAACTTAAGACGGCCCTATCTTACCCTGTAAAAAAAAAATTTAAAAATTAGCCAGGCGTGGTGGTGTATACCTATAGGCCCAGCTACGTGGGAGAATGAGGTGGGAGGATCGCTTGAGTCCAGGTTGTCAAGGCTGCAGTGAGCCTTGATTGTGCCACTGCACGCCAGCC